ATCGTTTATTATTATTGCAAAAATAATCGGATTGGTTTATCATTTAAAATAAGTGTAAGCTGCAGCTCTATTCTAAACATTAGTTACCCTTGCACCAGTGTTCCATATGAAAACTAAGAGAGGTTTGTGAATAAAATCACCACGATTACAGGCGCGACCCACACAATAATACAGCCCAGACAATAATACAAGCCTGTAGGAAGGAGCGGAGGTAAAGTGACGTCCTTTTCGGTAGATTAACAAAAGCATAATGTCATCAAATATCACATGTGTATTAGTATCTGCGAGGTTGAGTGAGGCAGGATCGTGGTAAGCTGACCACAGTGAGCCGGTAAACCTGCAGCTTAATGCTTTCTAATCAAAGCGGCCGAGCACACAAAAGCATGCACGCTCCCTCCAGTCGCACACCGTCTGCTAGCTGCTCTTACATTAGCGCCCGGTTCATTTAGCAGCGTGCTAACATTTCCGAAGGGCGTTCGGCTTTTGTGTCTCCATGGTACATGCACGCCACAATGAGCGGAGTCTCCTCTGATTCCACACGCGGTCTAATCCCGCAGCGTTTCCTTAGCAGGAAATAGCCGCGGCAGGGCCACCGATCCGCTAGCTGCTAGCCCCGCTCGCTAGCGCGGTGCTGTTAGCATGCTAATCATTTAGAGGCTGCGAGATAACGGGTTTTTAGAGCCGTTTATTCTGGTGAGCGTCTGCGTGGGTGATTCACAACAACAACATCCGAGCAGAACCGCCCTTCCACTCCGATCTTTCCGTTTCACCCGCTCTTACCGTGATATTGTTGAAAGTACCACCGGCATGTGCTGCCCAAACATATTTGGCGTCCGTATACCCAACAATGGCGCTATCCTGACAGCTGCCATCGGCCATCAGGTTTTCCACGTAGCTTTGCCAAGACATGCTCAAGAAACTGGTGCTATGTGTTTTTTTTAAAAAAGGGATCCCTACAGCTGAGGAGGAAGGCAGCTCGCCAAAAACCAAAAGATGAAGCCGAATCGGGAGGAAACCTGCAGGCGAATTTAGAGTCTCCAATCTAAAGCCACACTCCGACGCTCAGCGACGTCAAGGCTGGGGCAGCAAAGAAAGCCAGGGAGGGCAGTGAGGCAGCGGCTGGGTGTAGTCCCGAGCAGATCACTCCGCACAATGAGCTCAGCGGCAGCGGCAGCAGGCGGCGGAGTAAACAGGGACTTATCAGCTCAGCCAAGAGTCAACTGTCTGAGGGAAGATGCCGGGGAACACACACAGGCAATTATTTGGTCGTTCATTCACTCACTGAACGTGTCTCCATGATGGAGGAGCGACACGCTGGCTGAGGACGAGCAGTCGCACTCAGTGTTCACAAAGAAAACAATGTGCCATGAGGTCCATGAGGCTCATGGAGTCCAAACTGTCTATTCTAATGAGATCACCTCTTAGAATAACATTTTTATATTACGGTGGGAGCCTGGTCAGAGGTTCACTCTGGTGAGAGACCATTTACTCCTAAATCTCCTAAATCTAACAAGTGTTTGAGGCGTGAGGCCTGACAGATGTTATTTTTTATAACTTGTTTCCAAACAACAAATATGCACATAGGATGATTACTCATGTGGCCCTAACTTATTTAATCTTATAAAATCAATCCTTGTCAGAAGTTCTTTCATAAGTTCTGACTGAGAGGCCAATTTACTCCTTCGTTTGAGATGTACAGAAGCCTTGAAGTACCAACAGGTCATTTTTTATCTTGTGTGCACAAGATAATAAGTTGTTCCCAGACAACTAATATGTAGAGCTTACTAGATATTTTACCTTGTGGCCAAAACTTATTTAATCTCATGAAATCAACTCTTAAAATGTATTTTTTTCCCCCCTTATGCTGGTGCCAGGTCAAGAGTTCCTTTGATAAATTCCCATTGAGAAGCCATTCACTCCCTTCAAATCTCTGTGTGGAGGCCCTATGGTCCTGACAGGTCTTTTATATATATATATATATATATATATATATATATATATATATATATATATATATATATATTGTGTGCACAAGATAATAACTTGTTCACAGACAATACTTATCTTGTTTGTATAAGATAACTACCTTGTGGTCCAAACTTTTTAAATCTCATGAAATCAACTCTTAATTATTTTTATATTAAGGTAGGAGCCTGCTTAGAAGTTCTTTGAAAAGTTCCTGCTGTGAAGCCATTTACTCCTTTCTAATCTTAGTATTAGAGACACGCAGAGGCCCTAAATCCCTGCAGGTGATATTTATTTAGTCTTGTGCATGCAAGATAACAAGTTGTTCCCACACCATAAATATCTTGTGCGTATAAGATATAAACTTGTTTGCACAAGATAATTACTTAATTAACTAAGCTTATACAATCTCTTAATTTTTTATTATTATTGTTATGTTGGTTGCCCATTGTTAGAAGATCCTTTGATAACTTAGAAACATGTTCACACAATATAATTACCTTGTAGCCCAAACATATTTATTCTCATTAAATCCCCTCTAAAAAAATGTTTTATCATCATGGTGTGAGCCTGGTTAGAGGTTCCATTGATAATTGTCTGCTGTGAAGCCATTCCTCCTTCCAAATCCTAGAAGTATTTGAGATGTACATAGAACTTTAATCCCAACAGGTGATATTTTCTTATGGTGTGTGCGCAAGATAACAATAAGACAATTACCCTGTGCAGCAAACGATTTCTGCCAATGACATCATATGTCTCCATACAAGAGCAGCAAAACTTTAATTATATGACATTCCAAGGTGAAAATAAAACTTGATTAGCTGAGTTCATTATATTGGCCATGTGCGTCTGAAGTTGTTAGATATGGATGTGAATTTTTAGTAAATTATGGTGTGCACAGTTATTAATGTTGTACAAGGTTTTACTGTTATTCTGCTATGACTCTGTTGGATAAATATTTGGATTGACACTACAACCAACATTCAATACATATGGTAAAGCATTACTTCTGTTGAGCAGTTGCCTTTTACTTCTTGCACTGTATATAGTTCATAATGATTTAAACCAATACTATGTGTTTGTGTGCAATGACAGAATATTAACAGAAGCAGGCCTGCAGTTGGGTTTGTATAGTCAAGGACTAAACGTTTTAATTTTATTATCTGTGTACAACATTTAAATATTCATACATTCCCGGTGTATAACACCAATTTCATTAAAATCTCAGTTCAAATAACATTAATATAAAGACCCAAAGCTACATTGCTTCTGCTATATGCCTAATATAAATATTATACATATAAAAGAGATTTGAACCACTGCAGAGAACAAACCCGAGGCTATATGCTGTGTAATTTGCGAAACTCTAACAGTGACAGTCAGGCCTGGTCAAAGTCAGCCCGTGACATATGACTGAATTATGACTTGAGTGGATGCTTCCATTTATAAAGTGCATGATGTCATTTCAAATTTCAAACATACGACTTGTTCAACTATTTTGTGGCTATTAATTTCATCTCCTCTATAAGCTTGATCATAAATGATAGAAGACATTTTTGAATGATCATTTTGGGGCTAATCTGTTGACACACACGCATCAAACAGCACTGTTCCTGGGAATAAGAACTTATATGAGAAACAGTTCTGGATTCATCCAAAATAACCAAAAAAGGAAAAAGAAACATGGTACCATCTCACAGAGAAGTACAGTCACTGACCACCGGGGGCAGTGTTCTCTATGGATTGTGAATACTCATGTCTGGTCAACAGTTTATTTCTGGTGCAGAGCTATGACTTGTCATGTGTCTTTAAAACTGTATTTAGTCTTCAAGTAAATGTAGGGATATTTTCAAATGTGAATCATTTTAAATTGAAACTGCTTTATTGGTATAACAGAATTTACATATGTATAAAATTCATGCAGATATACTTTCATACTTATATATATTTGCAAGTTTGTCACATTGTAGAAGTTTTTTTTTTTAAATTTCCTTTGACTCTCTTAGATAATAAAAGTCCCATATATAATTCACTGTCTAACCTCACCTGCTGCAGATGTAATGCAGCACCAGTAGTGCGATGCGCTTTCAACCACATCATTGTGAATATAACCTCCAATCAACTCCCTTAAACATATTCTGCTTTTCTTATGTCATACTTACAATATCATTACACATTTATATGAGAATATGAGGCGGTGTAGTGATCACAAGAGTTGCCGCATGCTGTGTCATATGCTCGCAGTTTTCCAGACACACAAGCCCAGTGTGTAGGAAGAGCTGTGCAATCTCGATTTATTTAGAAATGACTAAACTAACTTATCCCGTGATCATTCTTGAGAGGCCACTGCACAAACACACACTGCTGAATTCTCCCGTGGAAGTTCACTGATATAACATCGGCGTATCAGTGACACTGCAGCATACACAAATACCTATAGGACAGAACGAAGTGATGCGTTCAAGTGCCCTCCAACAAAGTTTGACTCTATGCAAAAAGAACCATCGTTTAGTAATACCATGTCATTGAAGAGAAAAAAAAGTATTTTGAAATGAAAGCATGCTGTGGCTACTTTTAGCTGTAGCTGTAGCTTTTATTATTATTAGTACATCTCCTGCTTATAAATTGAATGAATCTATCAATCGTTCTATCTGTACATGCTAATACTCTGATAACGCCTTTCACAATTTCCCAGTGTGACTTCTTCAGTTTGCTTATTTTGTTCAATCTATATTGATATGTTTATTTCAATTGACATTGATGTGGAGCTGATCAATTGGTTGACTATTCAGATAATTAACTCTATTTCTGACATATTATTCAGAGCAATAGGATTATGTAACCGCGCAACTCACTCATCATTATCAGTGTGATCATTTCATAAATTCAACATACAGTTATTAGAAAAGTGGATCACTCTCCGCGTGGTTGCGTGTAATTGACATATTTCAGACGGTGCCCTGAACGCAGCATGAAGGGCGATTCACAAACATTTGGCACGTAACCACCCTTGCGCAGCCTGCCTACCCATGATTCAGCGCGGCCGCGTACAACATAGCCATCTTGTCAGTAGTGAGTGAGGGAGGGAGGTGACTGTGGGCGCTGTTTAGATCCTCGTTTGTCTCAAAGCGTGAGATTTAACTGTGTTTCCTTCCTTCGACCGCAGCCAGCCTCACTGTCGGAGCCGAAACAGGAGGACCTCCAGCCGGGGAAGTGTGCAGGCACGACGGACTGCTTTCTGGAAGATGTCTCGCATACTTGTTCCGACGTAGGGGGAGTGTGCAGCCGCCAGTTGGCTTGACTTGCTAGCTAGCTCTGTGAGTGGAGGGCTGCGGGCCCTCCTCAGCCTCTACTAGCTCCTGCAGCTGGGCAGCACACTGTACGACAGCGGCCGCCTGACAACTGCACAGCCGGGATATTAGCAGGCCGGTCCGGACCCACCGAAACACCTCGGCTCGATTCCCGCACAGGCGCTGGATCGGGCGGCTGGTAGCGGCTTCTGAACTCGCATCCGCCGGACAAGAAGACACGAAGTGCGGCGTTGCGCTATGAGCTCATGAAACGGAACAGGAGACCGAGAGAGGAAGAGGGATGGCGCAGATTCATCTCGATTACAGTTGAGTAAAATAGATGAAAGTGTGCTCTTTAACATGATCTAATCTCCTCCAAGCTGCAACCAGCTCGTCCCTTTTCCACGGAGGATAAACATAGCCATACGGGGGACTCGGAATCAGGCTCTCAATATGTCGAAAATGCCGGCCAAGAAGAAGAGCTGCTTCCAGATCACAAGTGTGACTCAGGCCCAGGTGGCGGGGATAGGTGCCGCGGACGACACGGAGAGTCTGGATGATCCAGACGAGTCCCGAACTGAGGACGTGTCGTCGGAGATATACGACGTGTCTCGGGCCGAGTGCGAGCCTACGGGTGACAGGAGTTCGTCAGAAGAAGCGCTGAACAACGTCGGGGAGCCGGAGGCGATCAGCGCTGTGGCCCCATCCCACATACCTCAAGCCGGTCACTTGTCTGCGCTGTCAGGCGCTTCTATTGGGGAGTTCCGTAAAGTGCCGGGCTCAGCTCAAGGTGGTCAGCTGCAGCAGGGCATCGGCGTCACAACTGGTTTACCCATCACCCCTCAGCCAGGAGCAGGGCATCATCAGCCTGCTCCAGCATCCAGCGTGTCAGCAAACACATCCCAACCTGCTGCTCCTTCTCCTGCCACCTCCACGGTGAGTTGCACTTCACGCTTCAGGGTCATCAAGCTCGATCACGGTACTGGAGAACCCTTCCGGAGAGGCCGGTGGACGTGCACAGAGTTTTATGAGAAAGACTCCGAGGGCTCTGGCGTTGCTAGGACTATAGACAGCATCAGGCATGCCAGTGCAACATTGGACCCAGCTGCAGACAGAGACAGTGGGCTCAGCCTCACGGGGGTCTCTGTGGCTTCCTCAGGTCAGGGCTTGGGCTCTGTGGCAGATGCGTCTCTCCCATCATCTCGCATGCATTCAGTGGAGACACTTCCACAGCAACAGCAAATCCATCATCAAAACTTCAGCGCCCGACAACAGGTTGTTAGTGGGTCCGCCGCACAGAGTGCTTTCTCCAGCAAGTCTACAGCTGTCCCCACTCAGCCAACAGTGGGAGGTCTCCAACCCTCTGCCCCCCAGAGCGTGCTGCCAGTCGGACTTAATGGTTTGCCTCAATCTGGTATCATCATCCAAAAGTCCCCCATCATGCCTCCCGCAGCCCAGCCCAGCACTTACCCTCCTCCACAACAGCAGCTTCCCATTGGCCACCCCTTGACGGGCCAGTCACCTGGACTCTTGCAGAACCAGGCGGAGTACTATCAGCAGCAACAGACTGCTTCCATGCAGCCTGGGCTTTCCAGCAGCCAGTCCCTCTCAGCCGGATTGCAGCCTGGGAGCCAAGGGCCAGCTTCAGTCATTCCTCCACAGGGGGGATCTGTACCCACTGGACAACCAGCTCCGGGCCTCTTGCAGCAGCAGACTGTAGGAATGGGAGGTGTCGGAGGCTCCATACTGGTTGGTGGATCCACTCTACAGCACCAGAATGTGAGTCCGTATGCCGCCGCTGGACAGCCACAACCCCACGGTCTCCACCCTACATCCTCCAGTGTGCAAAATGTGCCTGCCATGGCAGTGAGCGCCAGTGTGCCCCCCACTGTGCCCACCGCTGTGCCCAGTGCCTCCAGTGCAGCCATGCCAAATGTGACAGCTTCCAGTTTGCCTCTGGGTCAGATAGCCCACAGTAAGAATCCACTGGCGTTTGGGGCGCAGTTTCTCTCAGCACCTGGATTTGGACAGTTGGAGGGTGGTGGAAGGAAGTCAGAGGGTCTCGTCAACGCACAGTCTCCTGGTGTTTCTGGGAAAGAACCAGTGAAGCCCCTCATGCCTGAAAGCCTGCAGCTCACCTCTCCATCTGTCAACAGCCTGTTTGGAATCCACATACCTGTCGACGGGGAGGAGGACAGGTAACCATTTTAAAGATCTCATTGTTTACAGTTAGAAAATTCTCCTCTCTGTTCAGTATCATCATGTGTCATCAATAACACACACAACTTGAACAATCACAGACAGACAGTGTTAGTGTCTGTGAGCAGAGGGTTTTTCTGCTGACTTGATTTGACTGTGATCCCAAGAACTTAAAAAAAAAAAAAACATAGTTAAGGAAATGGCTGATTTAGTGTTGGTCATTCAGCTTTTCAGATGGCCCCTAAAGGAAGTTATGGGGGGAAGAGAAAAGTGACACAAAAGAAGGAAATGTTAAATTTATAGTTTCTCATTAGGTACTAAAGGAGTAAGTGGAGTGCTGCACGCTGGGGGAAAACACCTGTGGCTTCCTCAGTGCATGCAACAGCTTGTTAAACACACATGACACACATGACCTATGTCATACCACCCAGTGATGATGGTGTGTATTTGTGTTGTGTGTGTGTGTTGTAGCATTTTGTTGCAGGTCTCATGTCTCCAGCCTCATTGTCCTCCCACTTATCTGTCACCACCAGGACAGTGTCGGATGTGACGGCCTTGGCTGCACACATCAAACATGCGTAGCTGGTTGTTAGTGTGTGTAGAGTTCACTCAGCTTTCTTTTTTAGTCCCAGGCTTCTCCTGGCTGCTCTGCGAACGTGTTGCATGACTGACCTTTTAATAAGTCAGCTCCTGATGTGGAAAAGACTTTGTAATACAAACACAGAGAAGAGTGCTTCAGTTTGTGTTGCCACTTGTATGATATCATGGTTTCCACTTGTTGCCACATCAGGTGCCCCTGAGGAAAGTCTTTTCAGAGGATTTTAGATTTAAAAAAACGGCTGATTAGCTTTTGTATCGTAGATATTATGTTGTGTAATAATTCTTTGGATTGATTGCGTGTAAATTTGTAATGCATCCCCAGACATGGTATAGGTGTAGACATTTAAAGAGTTTTTTAATTGGTTGTGAAATTGTCTTACTTTAATATTGCTGCCTCTTTATGACCTGGCAGCAAATTAGGCAATTAGGGAGAAAAATTCTTTTCTCATTGTCTGTGGTAGGGACGGATTACCCGCGAGGTCAGAGCAACGTTTTACTGCAGTCGACTGGAAAAGCCTCTGGTGAGGCGGAGGGAGAGGAAACGTAACAGAAAAGAGAATCTTTATTTTTATATATTTTGATCTTTGTCCCCCCCCCCCCCAAAAAGAGAAAATCCAAAGAGAGCTGCAGTGTCTTCTTGGTTTGTGTCCTGAACTCTGTACTTGCTTTTTTTCTCCACTCCTTCCAAAACAAATGCACACGCTGTCTGGACCAAGGTTTTTAGGACAAGTGACAGTGGAAACAATACCGCTTTTGTCCACAGAGGTGCCAAAATCAACGAGTTAGGGGCTTTAACATAAAAAAGATTATTAAGTTCATGGATCACATTGTTTTGTTTTGTCTGTAAAAGGAGAGAAAGGCTCCGGCCACAATTTTCAGTCAGACCTCGGCCGAGCATGAGAGAAAATTAGCCAAGCCCGACCTAAACCTAACAGACATGCTTTTTTTTGTGTCTGAAACTGACAGGAGCCTGAAGTTTTCCCTCGATTACAAAAATCAAGTAGATAGCCTGCCTGCCTCTCCACACTCTAGTACATATGAATAATAAGACATGTTATCACTGTGTTGCTGTCAGTTAGGAGATATGACATTTGCTTCCTTTCCAGTCTAATCTCTCAATTCCCGAGTTTCAGCTCTTTGTCTCACTTGTGGTGGATGCCACTCATGAGTGAAAATGACAGAGCCTAAAATCTCTGTGGTTTCCATTTACAGTATTTTAGATAACCAGAATGTGGACCAGATATGCAGACTGCAGAACACTGGCTCTGCTTTTCTACACGTTGTTGGAAATAGACATGATTTAGATATGTTTCAGTTTGTTATGAGCACAGCAGAGAAGCTTACTGTTTAAAATGAGTGTGTAAAATCCATCACCTCTGTCAGATGCAACTGGCTGCTCATAATATTATTTTTTTTACTTTTGTTCAGGGGAAAATCCTGCTCTACATTTTGTGAAACTTCTTTTCACATAAGGCTTTGAGGAATATAAACAAACTACGTTTCTATGGATTGAGCAAGTTACGCTGTGTGAAACAAGTTTAGCCCCACTTTTTATTTTTTATTAGAAGACTGCAGTGCATGTTTGCAGTGCAGCTATGGATGTATAGATATGTACAAATGGATGAGTTCTGAAAAGGGCACTGTGTTGATAAGTGGGTCAAATCAACAGACTTAAGACAAGAATGAAAGTTCTGTTATTTTTACATCACTGTTCACTTTAACTATTTACCTCACATGGTATCTTTGTCTCATCACAGCTCAGTTAATGGGAAAGTCACTTTATTCCCTAAAAGTAAATGTTAGTGCACACTATTTATTTTGAAATGACATTCTCTGTGTGGTGGCTTAATTTGGAAAAACAAATAAAATGTTTAAGCCACTTTAACAACAACTTTATTTATGTTTGTGACAGTGCTCCTGACTTCAGGCTGCATAGTACCTGTGTGTTGCTTGTGAGAAGACCCAGCTCCCAGCCTGATAAGAGAGGGGGGTCTCTTACGACAGCCGAGCACTATCAGACATTGAGCAGTAGTCTTTCCACTGTGCCCATATTGTGCCGATAAGTGACCTGACAGTGGGGTGTGTCAGCCAACTGTGTCACATTATGGCACTTTTCTTTTGCAATGCAAGCTCCCTGTATATCCTGGGTAGGCCCTTTGGATGTATATGGTATATAGTAGGCACATCCATTCCCTCTGATGTCACTCACTGCCCGAGCTGACATTAGCTGTTGTTTGATGGTGTTTTTTCTTCTTACCAGTGGTGCAGCATCAGTGCTTTGTACCTCCCACCCCGCTGACTGACTGACAGACGAGGCAGGGCAGTTGTTCTTGTACAGATTAGGTGCTGAATGACATTTCTTTGCAACAGTGCAACTGTGGTACGTTCATATGAAGGGGAGGAAGCTGCAAAGTGACTTGCAGGCATGTGAGCTATGCCCCATACAACCCGCCCCCCCGGCCAGCTTTTTTTATTTGTCTCTTGCTTCATTTCTACATTTCCTCACCACTGTTTATTTTGTCTCCTGCTGCACCCCCCTCACACACACACACACACACACACACACACACACACACACACACACACACACACACACACCACACAACGGAAACATTCGCATTTTATCCTGAAATGGACGACTTCAGAAGCTAAAATACATCATCTGTATATGTACACACATGCAGCCCCTCGTGATTTAATAGGTGGTAGACTTCAAATAAGGTCCATAACCTGGAAAAAACTCTTGGCCATTTGGTAGGAGCTTATACAGTGTGGAGGATCAAACAGGTATAGACTCGAGATTGAATTTGATTTTCTCATACTTTGAATAGCCTCTGCTCAACTTAATGTTTCCCAGATTGCTTCAACAAATGAGGGCATACAATAACATTGGTGGATTGTCATAATGTGTTTGTTGCTTCGATTTTGGCAGAATAATTTGCACAAGTGTAATGCATCTGGGGTCTGTGTATAATCATAATCATGCTGGGGTAGAATGGTTTATTGTCCCCACAATTTTACAGCTTATGTAAAATTGTAGTCCTCAGGAGGTAAAGGGAAGGGGAGGGGGAGCCGAGGTCTGTGATGAAGTCGAGCAGTTAGTGCCACTGTGAATGAAGGACTGTCTCTGTGTGGGTGGATAAGGGGTGTGTCTTTAAAAGGGGATGGGTTGACTCAGCTTGTGCTCTTGTACGTGTGCAAAACTATCCTTGCTGTGGACGGGTGGCTTGTGGGGCTCTCTCTGAGGAAAGCTGCATGACCGCGTGATAGTTTTGGACAAACTTTCCATTTTATTAGTTTTTAGTCATGGTGGAATTGTGTGGGTGTATGTGAGGGGAAGAGAGAGTGACACAGAGACAAAATATACCACAGGGTCTTTCCCTCCCCTCCGTGACCTCTGCCGTATTGCTACATCCTGTTTTCGGTCAGCCCCTCACACTGCCACCTTCTATTCATTTAATATTCCTCAGCTCACTCCCCGCTTCCGCAATGAGGCTCTCTGGTCATATCATATGACTTTTTGTGGGCACACTTCATTGAGAGTGCCTCATAGGGGTAGAAGTATACTCCTATCTTAATCCCAGTTCTAAACCTGGCCTGCCACTATTAACGTCGTAATACTTCACTGCAACAAATCTAGGATCTGTGCACAAGCACTGAATATAGCAGTAGTATAATTAGTCATCTTCTGCTCCTGCCCTGAACTCTGTAACAGCTCACTGTGTATGGTATGTGTTTCTGTGTACACTAGTCCACTTTTTCGTCATCTGTCAACCCAGTGTCATCTTAGCCCTAAAGGTATTTTAAAAAGAAACGAGTTTTGATGTGTTTCTAGCCTGTGTGTAGGATTTGCTTCAGTGATCACCTCCACCTCGGGTATGGAGGCCCTCCATTGTTCTCAGAAGAACATCAACTCACTCCAATACTTTAACAGCCTGTTTAACTGGGGATGCCCTGTAGATAACTTTACTGAGAATATCCTTGTTTTCATGATTTTTGGAAAGTGGCACTTACGTGACGTGAAGGATTACTAAGAAAAACATCTTGCATCTAAGTGTGTTTTGCTCCCTATGGCTTTTCACTCACTGGGCAGAAACCACTAATTGTTATAATAACTTATGATTAACTTTCCCTTTGTTGATGTATTGTTTCTCACTTATTAACTATATTTTAAAACCTGTAACATATTCTTACACATGGTTATCTCAGCATAAATGCATGTCTTCAAACGTGTTAGTTACCTGTTGTTGACTCAAAAGTAAATTCATGTTTCAAAGGCAGAGTGTAGAATTTAGTGGTATCTTGAAATTTTATGTTGCAGCTGAATGCCCTTCACCTCACCCTCCCCTTCCAAACATGAAAAAGAAACAGTTGTAGCCTTCAGTTGTCATAAAAACTC